AACTGATACTTTAGTTGCTACTAGCTGCGTTCATATTTACAAAGTCCTATGGCAAGGCCTTAGAGATGAGTAGTGTGCGTCTTGAAAGATGAGTTCGTTTACTAGATATATCAGGGAAGTACTGAAGGTGAAGGAATAGAAGCACTAAATACATGGTAACTTCCAGGAACATGGAAGCCTCTTGTAGTTGGAGGATAGAGTACACGGGGAGAATGGAGAAATAGTGGAAAACAAGAACAGAATCAGGTAAGGCTCCCCAGAAGTGGAGATGATTGTATTGGAGTCTTGAAGGACGAGTAGGAGTACGTCACACAAAGGCAATGGAAGAATATTCTAGTGATGGGAAGAGCATATAGAAAGGCACAAAATTTCACATGTGTATGAACTATTTGGGGAAATGTGTGTTGTGGGTGGTGTCCTGAATTCAAGAAACCCCTATATCATTTAGAGGCTTAAACTGTGTCTGCCCATGTTTGTGACATTTGTTGGGGTGGACTCTTGAAATCAATTTGAATGTGGGTTTTGTAGGAAACAGAAGCAGTATGTGTGCCCCAAAGGGGAGAGGAACATGGAGGACTACTGTTTTTGTGTTTTGGATGCTTGTACTCAGCACATACTGGCGAATGAGGCCTGACAAAAGAACTGACTGACAGTGGAACACATTTTTTTTCCATGAAAGTCTCTGTGATACTGTAGGGCACCAGAAGATCCATGCTGGTGTACATAATACTACATACTCACAAACTGGCTGCTTTAATGTAAAGTGATAAAGAACATCACAGGTGAGGAATATGGAGGACTTTTTCTTCATTTGTGCAGGGGATATGGTGCAGCTGGGGAAGATTCTGAGGGCCACCTGTGTGGTGGTGACCGAAGGCTAGCAGAAGAAGCCCCACCAGCAATAGCCCATTTGGCAGCAGTGGTGACTGTTGAGATATTTTTGGATATGTAGGTAGAGGATGGGCATTTTTTTGTACCAATGCCTGTCACAGAGAAAGCTTTTCAAGAGGAAACACTTTTCCTCTGCCTTCTTAGCTATAGTGACTGTGGACTTATGAATTAAATTAACAAGACACAGGTATATTTGTAGTGGTGAGTTTTATTAATATTTGTAAGCAAAGTAGTTCAGAGAAAGGAAGTGAAATGCAAAAATATGGTGAGTCTCAGGGGCTTATATACCATTTTAGCAAGGGAATGAGAGTTTGAACTTAAATGGATGGCAAATTGTGGTAATGTAACTAGGAAATGATTCACAGGGGGGAATGAATGAAAGCTAATGACTAGTTAGGTAAGGATTGTCTGTTAATGCAAATTCATTGTAGTGTTGACTTCCCACTCTCAAGGATGAGTCACTCTTCTCTCCTTGGAATGGACAAGGGGACACCCGGCTCAAAGGAATACTTATGTTCTCTTTCTTGGCAGTTATGGGTAGTGTGGAGAGTTCTTCTCAATTGCCTTTAACTCAAAACAAACCTTATGCTACAGTAGCACAGTTTTGAGTGGTTTATTCTGAGCCTTTTCAAGAATCAAGCAAGAAAGGAATAAAACAATGGGCAATGTGAGGGAGCAGGCAGGTTTTCCCTATAAGCCCATGTGAAAGAAACATTGGTGCTTCCTGGCAATCATGGTGAGAGGAACAGGAGAGGGAAAAAGCTCTGCAAGAGGAATTGAGAGCAACAGCATACAGACATTGTCTACATCTAGGAACACAAACTTACAGGACTGGGAAAAAAATTGGATGTGGCTATCAGGGAAAAGGAAGAATGCAAGATGGAGGCACAGATAATCTAGTTTGACTTATTTGCACTGGAGATAACGGTGTTACTGGGATTACAACCTATCATTCCAGAAGAAAACAAGCTGAGTGAGTAAAAGGGAACAAGATCTTGCTAGGACTTGAGCATGCTTTCATTATTGCTGTGAGTTCAGATGAGTAAATGACCGGCTGTCTGGAAGGCTCTGTTTCCTTGTGGTCATTCACCCCCTCTGACTCTTACAATTTTTCCACTTCCTCTGCCACAATGATCCCTGAGCCTTGAGAGTCATTAAATTGGGTGGAAAGTCAGTGGGGGTAGGTGTGGAGAGGAGAGTGGATCTAAATGCCATTAAACTATACTGTATGAAAATCTCAAAAATTCAATTAAAAATGCAAAAAAAAACCAAGATCCATGGCAGTTAGGTGGAGCATAATGAAAGTGGTTGGCCTCCCAAAGGTCAAACTTCCACTTAGGTTGCAGACCAAAAATTGAGTCCTGAAAAGGAGAATGGGACACAGCTTCTCATGGCTACTATATAAAACAGATGACCTCCTTTATTACACACTATCATTCACCTTTCCCCATTTGTAGTCTCTCTTCCCTCTGTATTTTGATATGGACAAACAGCTCCAACATGTAAGACTAGGTAGCTTTGACCTCATTCCCTTCTGCACTGACTTCCTTTACCATGTTCCTCCTCAATCTGTTGGAGATCTACTCCAGTATTTTTTCTTGAGCTTTTTGTCTTCTAATTCTTCATTCCACCCCTCCACACACCTCTTACAATACACCCCAAATAGGTCTCTGTTCCAGTAATCCCCACAACACTTTTCTCTTGTTACCAGCCTCAATACATATTTTCTGTTATACCATTCTACATCTCAGCAGTAATTGACGTTTTGGAGTTCTCAGAGTGCTTTCATATTTTGACTTCTGTAGTAGCTCACATTTAGCTGGTATTGAGGATCTAAGGGAATTTAGTCTGGACCAACAGTCAACATGTACGTCAAAATCCTTACCCTGATTCCTAAACAAATTTTGCCTAAAAAAATTGTGGACAGCAGGTCAAAGTTGAGGTTCCCTTGAAACCCAAGTCAGTGTTCTAAGGGGAGGTTAAAAAAATTAATGATCGTTTTCAGTGTCCTGCCATCCTTGATTACCTGTGGTCATTAATGAAGGATCACTGTGTACTACACGCGATTCTAATAGCTTTATATGTACCAACTAAATTAAACATCACTGAAGATTTCAGGAAAAGGGTAGTAGTAGTAACCCTATTATTCTATTTTCTTATTGGGAAAATTGACAAATACAGTAAATTGCAGAGCTGGTTTAAGAATCTAGGTGGCCTTGCTGCCAAGTTCATACTGCTGACTTGTATGTGTTAGTATGACAAGGATGTCAGTTGACTGCAAAACCACCAGGCTTACTCATCATCTTTTACCCCGTCCATTGGCAGTCTTGACCAGTGACTCAATCACTCACGTGACTTGTCTATAGATGACTTTTCAAACTTAAAATTTTATTAATTTAAAAATCCAGAAACACAGTGACTACACAAATAAGTACCATATTCTGGCACATGTCCTGTGAGGAGAGTGAAAGGGTAATACTGTTATGTTATTCAAACATGTTTATATGAGCTAACTAGAAAACAGATACAACTGCAAAATGGTGCTTATGGTCTTTGTTGTTCCAAGTGTTTATGATAGAAATAAATACACAAAAAGAACCCTTTCCATTCTTCTCTACCAACTACAGGCAGTTTGGCCTCTTTCCACTATGTCCTACACCCTACCCAAACATGAAACACTTGAGAGTTTCTACATTGATTTAGCGCATCTCCCTAGCTCTTGCTTCCCACAGCAATTTTGAAAAGGTGTGTACCTGCACCTAGAGGCAGGAGTCTATCTAGGGAAGCTCTCTGGGTGTTCCCTCAAGGCCAAGATTTCAGAGAATACCTGGGTGGGAAAGCTTTGTGGTGAATCATCTAGAAGGGGAATCACCACTCTGCTTCAGGATCTGGTTACTACTGATTTCCACATTATGGAAATACTGCTTCCTCTGGGAGGGAGGCAGCAACTGAATAACCCTGCCCTCTATCACAGGCACAGTTATGTTCTGTGGCTTTTTTAGCCCACTGTGTCCTAGGCCTCTCTTGTGAGGAGAATATATCTGGCAAGAAGTTTGCCTCAGGAAACTCTGGCCCCAAAGTTCAACATCTCTTTTGTGGGAACTGACTCTTCTCTGCCAGGTTCCTATAAAGACCAGACCTTTCACACTTTTTTTCCAACTGGTGTCAATTCTACTAAGGAAAAACATGCTCTCTCATCTGCAGTTATAGTGTGGGAAATATGGGATTTCTAGGTCTTTAATATGTCTCAGTACTCAGTGGAGCTCATTCATGCTCCTCAGAAGGGATAGATCCAGAAAGCAGGACAGTGACCCTTGCTTGGAAGGATTTAAGGTTTTCCACAAAGATGATTTCTAATGACAGGTTTCAGAAAGGATAATTTATGCTGTGGCATTAGGCTGCAAATAAACATTTCATGAGAAGCCTTGTCTAGAATACCTGATACAATCCATGCTTGTAGGTAAGACAAGGATGGTAGGAAAGTTTAGGATGATGATCCTTGTCAGAATTCTGAGCTCCCTAAATAAACAAGGAGTCAACATTCAGAAGCGTATAAGGATTGAGCCTCTTTGTAAAGTAAAAACTCAACTTCTGAAATCAGGGAAGGAAAATGGTCCTCATAAGGAGCTTCTAGAATGCAATAATTTAACCTAAAATTTCTGTCTAGATGACTATGGACTCAAGGAAATTAGTAAGAATTGATCTGATTGATCTGTTTACAGCTGAGTTTTGTTGATACGAAAACAAAAAAAAAATCTTCTCCTTGACCTTCATTAGTTGCATTCTTCCACAGATATTCTGTTTTTCTTGTATGAAATCAGTTCTTTACAATTTTTCCAAATACTAACTTCCTAATGGAGGCTCTATAGATTTAGGAACAAAAGGAAGGAAGCATCATTAGGCAAAATGTATTTAGCTCTTTAAAGTGAACAAGACCATAAAATGGTCCTCTTTATTTTTCATTCTGTCACTGTAGATGGTGACTTCAAGAGCTAACTCAAAAGTCAAGCCTTCTGTTTACATTTTTTAAATTTGTTTTCCTGAGTACCAACAACCTCCAACATACTTGGGAACAAGAAAGAAGAAAGAAGGGCAGTTTCTTGTATATATATATATGGATGGTGAGGGCTTCTTTGCAGTGCTGAGAATGGAACTCAGGGCCCCGTGTATGCTAGGCAAGTACTCTAGCACTAACGTAAATCTCCAGCCACAGGGTTAATTTTTTAAGCAATGAAAGACACTCTAACATTCAGAGTATTTCGTACAAACATTTGCTCTACATGACCCAACTCCAACTAAGTAATTCTGTTTTCTTTTATGTGAGTAACTTTCTAGATAGAAACTCTGGGGTTTTTCATGCTCTTTAACCTGGGAATAGAAGTGGTTTTCAAAGAAACCTGAGCTGCACCAGGGTGTTCTATCCCTTCTTCTCCCACAAATTATTCAAGGGGATTCTAGTCTCTTTCGAGGGCTGGCACACCACTGCATGGTATGCTATAAGGTATGCAGTGCCTGGCATGAGTAATAGATTGCATTTGAGTTTGGGGTTTAGAACACTGTTGACTTAAGCAAAGTAAGCTGGCAGTCCAGCTGCAGCTTGAGTTTCCTTGATTGACACTATCCAATCCTGTCTGTTTTGCCTAACAGTGGCCCTTTTCAGATCGCTCCAGGTACAACACCTGGACCAAATCTTCCAACTCTGTTCTGCACACTCGACTTGAACACATCTGGCTGATCTGAGCTTCTCCTTCAGTGAAGATCTTCCACTGACCTAAAAGGCAAGCACAGAATAATCAGGAGAGTATAAGAGTAGAGCTGAATGAATTACAAATACGATGATACATACCATTCTTTCCCAATTTCTTGTGGACCCATCAAAGGACTTGAAATACAAATGGCAGCAAAATACCCTCCCAAACAGTCTTCTGAGAACATAGATGGCAAACAAGGCATGGAGTTTTTACTTCAACACATAGCACTGGAAATAATTTCTGAGGTTTCTTTTTGCAACAGTTGGAGACTATTACAGAGTTCCACAACTGGTCACACACAGAGAATAAGTGTCTGTGAGATGGCCAGCCCTAAGTGACACATCTGCAATGGAACCTCTACACCTGAGGCTCATGGAACATAGCCAAACACTGGGTAGAGAGAATACTAATACATTCCTCAACTCTCACCGACAAAGCCTTCTCATACAACAGAGTGTGATGCATCTCTCAACTCTCACCAGTGAAGTTTTCTCACACAACAGAGGGCGATGAACACAGAAAGCCACAACTGGCCAAAATGTAGAGACTAAGAGACTAAGAGACCACAGAGAGTGTGTCCCCGGAAAGGATGCCTATATTAAACCTGACCCTCCCAGGGCTCAGGGACCATTATAGAAGAGCGGGTGGGAAGATTGTAAGAGCCAGGGATGGTGGATGATCACAAGGAAACAGTTTTCCAGGGTTCTGGGAAATTTCTCATTTGAACTTGCAAAAATGGTGACAGCATAAACAAGACCCATGGAAACTCAAACCAGACAAAAACCCAGCATGGAACTGGGGAATGGGAAAGAAGTCCTAATCTTAGCAGAGGAACTAGTGGCAGTTGATTACTGCTGGGTGAGGGAGACTTGGTATTCTTTAAGGGAGGGATGCTAGTTAGGCTGAACAGGCTACAGCAGATGAACTTATACTGAGGGACAGCTGGGTACACAAACTTGACTCGATAGGTTTTAACATATATGACAGAATGCATGGAATCCGATGGGGGCATGGGAGTATGTAGTATGTAGTACTTTTAAACTAAAATATTTACTACATCTTAAATTATGTGTATGTGTGTGTGGAGGGGACATGTACAGGTGGGTACAGGTGTCCATGGAAGCTAAAGGTGTCAGATCCCCCTGGAGCTGGAGTTAATGGCTGTTGTGAGCTGCCTGTTTATGGATATTGGGTATCCAGCTTGGATCCTCTTGAAGAGCAATATGCACTCTTAAGCACTGCACTATCTCTCTAGCTGCAGAATTTTTATAGTGTATTTAGCATTTGCAAAATAGTCCACTCTGCTTGTTTGCTATGAGGTGGCTCACTTGGCACAGGTCAACAAACAGCCTGTGGAAAACAACAGTTACTGCATTGCTGGGGCTTAGCTTGCTCTTTTAGGGTCCCATGTAATAGTTTGGATTTCTTGATTGCTTACCATTATTTTTGCTATTCTTGCCTTCTTTCAAACAACTCCTCGTCTTTATTTTCTATTGTGTCCACATATTATCCTTCTACATGTTGGCACCCTGAAATGCTGTCCTATGGCTGCTTATGGTGTTCCATTCTCACCTTCCTTCAGATACTTTTCTCCTGGTGTAACTTGGCTATATTGCTTCCATTCCTTTTTTTTTTTTTGGTCTTTTAGAGACAGGGTCTTCCTGTAGCCCCTGCTTTCCTGGAACTCACTATACACAGCAGGCTGGCCTTGAACTCTCACAGAGATCTGACTGCCTCTGCCTCCCAAGTGCTGGGACTACAGGTGTGCGCCCCCACGCCTGGCTTTTTTTTTTTTTTAACAAAAACTTTATTGAGAATTTCATAAATGCATATAAGGTGTTTTGATCAAATCCATGCCCACTCCCTCTTCTCCAACATCGCCCCCTCTGAAGAGGTAACCCTAAAATCTTTTAAGGATTAGATACAAGCTCCCAAATACTTGTGTCATCTTTGGCCTTGGAACAGAGTATGTTGCTAACAGGCCCAAGGCTTTTAGCCAAGAAACTGGCTACATTTCTTTGGGGTCTTTTTACCTTAACTGCCTAGCCAATTCCTACCACCTATGCTTATCAGAACATCCTCTGAAGGGGTTACCCATATTGTCAATGGGGAATAGGGGTGCAGACTGCTCTGGCTTCTTCCATGCTGAACCGGGATGCAGGGTGAGGCAATTAGAGTACCCCTTCAGTGGGTCTATCTAAAAGACTCCCAAACTGCATAACTTTTGTCTCTAAGGGGAGAAGAAAGTCCTTGAATCATGAATAGGAGATGTGAAGGAGAAGTAAAGGCAAGAGTAATTAGCATTACAAGTTCTAGACAGGGAACTAGAAAAAAGTCAGAACAGGGCAATTTTCAAAAGTTTGTATGAGCGTCCATTGCAGTTTCTTGACAAGGGCTTCCAAAAGCATCCCTCTATTGGGTTCTTCCTCATTTTTCTTTTGTCTTCCAAGGCTGGACTAGTTGGCTGGGAAGAGTGGCTGGATACTCAGGCGAGGGTCCAGTGACCCTGCTTGGCTTCTTTAATGAATCAGCACAACCATTTTCCTTTTTTCTCTTACACATCCAGGATGGTGCCTCGCTTTTCTTTTTATTCCTGTGGTCATGATGTTAACCCTGAAGATCTTCTAGCCCGAGGTCAGCAAACTCCTCTTTGCCTCAACTGTTTTGAATCGTTTCACTTTTTCTAAAAGAGTAACATGAGAATACAATGCCTTCTTCTTGAGGCTTGATTTCTCTGCTTCTTTCTCCCTTGAGTTCCTCATTTTTTCCCTATTTTCCATATTTCAGTGTTAATGTAGAAGGAAAAGGAACTAGCCTTTACCAAAACTTTAGGCAGTTCCAGGCTCTTTGAGCCACATTTATGTGAAGGAGTTAGGTTTATTCTTTGTCCCCAGATGACTCTCCTGGATCATATCAGTACATACTTCCTTCATTTGCACAATGTTTGAGGTACACAATACCTACTTCCACTGCCTAAACCCAATCTTTCTAAAAAGTACATACACTAAGTCAGCTTTCAAGTTCTATGGAACCTGGTGCACTGCCTTGCACAACATGAACAAAAATGTGTTCTTTGCGGCAAAATGAGACTTAAAAATCACACCATTGATCCAGGAATCCTAGTCTTTGACTCCTTTATTCCTTATTCACATGTAGGGATTCCCCAACACCTACATTCAAATGCTCATAGTGTTATTTTAGTTTGTGTTAGTCCTGCAAAAGACATACATTTGACCTTATTCCAACCCTATTTCCAGCTGACCTCAAGCATCTTGATCAAAATATATTCCAAGTAGAGGCCTTTTCCCCCCAGCAATACCTACTGCTGCTTCTGCAGTTTTCCATTGGTGAATGGCATTCCTAGTCACCCACTTTATAAAGCTATTAATACTGGGGTCATTTCAAACTCATTTCTTTCCTATTTGTTGACTTCATCTCTTTCCTCCTCTGTCTCACTGACTTAGTATGATTCAAGAGCTTTCTGATTCAGACTATTACCAGCTCTGTCAAAAATAGTCCACCCTACTACATACAACCAGGACCTCTTTCTAAAAGCTAGATGTAAACACACCATTCACCTGATCAGCATCCTCCAGTAAAGTTCTCTAGGACATGGGTTAACTCTAAGTTCTCAGCATAGAAAATGGGGCTTTTCATAGTCTGGCTTCACGAAAGTACATGCTTATTAAATCTATTCAAAGTCCCAGACTATTAGTTTGGTATCACTATGTTGCACTATGCTGCTTGAAATTTTACAACTTCAAATTTTAACTGCTTTGAATGTGAACTTTTCACTAGCTTCTTCTAAGCCTTCTGACTACTTCATACTAACTCCTCTCATCTTTCAGTGCACACTGAAATATGGCCTTGGTGATCAGTCCTCACTCCCACCCATATTTCTTGTTTGCTCCTGTCTGAATCTTCTCTTAGGCTGCACCCTCCCTGGGGACTGATTTCTTGACCTGTTGCCCAGTCACACCCTTTTCTTTCAGAAAGCACCTCCTCCCCGAAGTCTTCCTCGACTAAGCCCACCTGGCTCTCATCTCATTGTTCTTTAGAGATTCCCCAGAGCACTTAGGGATTTAACTCCTCAGAGCTATGCTAATTCACATCATCGAAGGCCTGTTCATGTTCTGTCTCGCCCATTAGAATTTCCCTGTGGATAAAAACGAGGTACCTTTTATTCACCACATAGAAGTTCTCCCCAACCTCTTCCCCACTCCAGAATTCAGCAGTATATAGTCCCTAAGCTCCATCTAGCGTAGAAAGTGGGTGAGTTACAAGTGTACATGAATCCTGGAATGCCTTTAAAGAAACATGGCCACCTAGGGGGCAGTTCTAAAAGAGTCAGAGAGCTTTGCTACAGCATAGGGTTTGACATACATATACATATATGTATATATACACATATACATACACATATACATATACATATACGCATATTACTTTTCTCTGTCTCTCATCCCCACCACCGGAGAACATAGCCTTAAAGGTGTGATGTCTCCACAAGTTATATTAGACTTGAAAGCTTATGAAGCTACCTTCAACCCCCTTGAGACTTAGTTTATCAGTTTCATTGATGACATTCAGGAGTCCTTGGCCTGGAGTAAGTTGTATTTGGCCTACGGCTGGATTTGTATTCAGCATGCCCAAGCTTTTTAGTTCACACACAGACACTTTATTTGCTGTTTAGTGCCCCAAAGGAGAAATAAGGCATCTCCTAATGTGGACACTGAACATTGCCCATATTCAGTGAGAACACAGAGGAACTTCAAATGTGACTACACTACATTGAAAAACTAGAGGTGTTTACCAGGGAAGAGTAGAAGACAGTACTGATAGATAAAAAGTAGCTGGAGAATGAACGGATAGAGTTGATCAGGAAAAAGCACCAGGACACGGATAAAACTCCATCGGAATAGAGTTTATTAGCAAAGAACACATGGGACAGATTTCCTTCTGGGCAGGGAATATGTCTGCCCCAGGTGATGAGCTGGGGTCTTTTTAAGGGCGAGGCTTCTGCTTCCTGCAGAAGGCAGGAAAATGTATTTTTTTAAAGGTGGGCGGTGGGGGGGTAGTGGGAGAGCAGCGGGACTGTTAAAACCTGCCCTCTTTACAGGTCAAAGGGGAAGCCTGCTGTGTTGGCCAAACAGTGAAGTCTGCTTCTCTTGACTTCAAAGACCAGGGTGCTTATCAACTCAGTTCCCTTTTCTCAGGGGCTTGTGAAGCCCTGTTGGTGAGGGGGTGGGGGCTATCTGAATCTTAACAGGTACCACTTACTCAAAGTTGTTCTGGTCACAAGCTTGAAGTGATGGAGATCCTCAAACATTCTCTTAGAGATCTTCTCAATGTGGAAGTGCTGGAGGATGCCTAGGACAAAGTGCAAAGTGGAACAGGTGATGAAGCATTCTCTATCTCTTTCTGGAATCACCAACTACCCAGGCTCAGCATATAATCTCATTATGACGGTTTAAGAGCATTGAGCTGGGCTGTGCAATGTACTTAATTAGGAACTTGGATGGCTCAAGGGTTTTAATTGACTCCATTTGTTTCCTTGGCTCACTGGCCTCTCTTTGGCTTCTCCAGAGACTGGACATAAGGAAGACAGTACTGCTGACCAGGGGACCTCCTCCTAGGGAAAGCCACAGGGAATCAAGCATGTGTACTGGTTGGAGCTTCTATAGCCAGAGGTAGTATTAGAAATTCTGCCTTCAGCCAAAATTGGGTAGACTATATACTTGCCAAACCACTGGGCTGCCCTCCTGGCTAAACAATAAGAACCAGCAGTAGAACCACAGGCAGGTTATTTGTGTAAATGGAGAAGCCATCCCTATTCCTAAATTCACGGAAGAGAAGATTTTTCTTTAGGAAATCGTCACAATTCCTTCAGTTTTCCCTTACCAACAAGGGTGTGGTGGTGGTTTGTTTCAAAACGAGTTGTCTCATAGCTCTAATCAGAGACAAGTAAATAACTGAAAACTGTGAAGTGGTTAAGGAACAACATGTCACCAGCCCACTTAAGCTCAGAGGTCACCAGGGAACAAAGGGTAAAAAGCTTGTGCTTTGGTGGGAGCAGGACTCACAAACCTTGATAACTCTTCACTATGAACAGAAAGCTATTGAGAATCTACACTTGCAGACTGCAAACCATTCACACGCTTTAGTGCTTGAGAAGCTAAGAAGCCAGTGTTTACTGCCATGTGACTAGTAACTTACATATTATGGAGGTAAAGATGGAAAATCAACATGCCTAGGTATAAAGGCAAAATAAAAATGGATAAGAAATCTACGCACAGTCTAGTATATTTTCTAAGGGGTGGGGAAGAATACATTCTTTAGAGAAAGCTAGGTTGTTGGGAAAATGGAAAGATAAAAGGCCCAATAAACACTATAGCAGTGTTTCTGAAAGTATGGACCAAGAATCATTTGCATTAGTACCACAAGGCTCTGTCTTAAAGCACACAAATATTTAGAACCTACCCAAGGCGTCCTGAATTTAAATCTGGTATAGGGCTAGGTAGCACCAGCATCTCAATACCATTCTACTCATGGTGCTGAAGCACATACGTTTGAGCACACCATTTTTGTGAGACAAAGTTACACTATATAGCCCTGAATGGGCTATAACTCATTTTGTATACCTGATTAGCCTTGAAATCACAGAGACTCACCTGCCTCTGTCTCCCAAGTGTTGAGATTAAAAGCATGTGTCATTATGCCTGGCTATTTAACCATGCTTGAGCCTTAGGCAGGATTGAGGAGCAAAATAATGCCTATTATTGTCCAAGTGAAATCTCACCCTTACACTTCCATCCTTGGAAAATTTGACCAGACTAAATCAGTACTGGTCTTGTCCATACAGTATTGTTTCAAGTGAGACTATAGTCCTTTTTTATATTTTATTTATATTTACCTTAAAAAAATGCTCTGTGTGTGTATGTGTGTGTGTGTGTGTGTGTGTGTGTGTGTGTGTGTGTGTAGGTGCATATACCATAGTACACATGTGGTGATCAAAGGATAACTTATGGAAGGAGTTGGTGTTCTTTTCACCATATGGGTCCCAGGAATTGAACTGAAGTCACTGGGCTTGGTGACAAGCACCTTTGGTAACTGAGCCATCTCATCACCTCAAGACAATAATCTTGAAGGTAGGAAAGGTAACTTTAAATTTGTCTTAACCCAGGGTACATGGTTTGATTCCAGGAACTTAGCTTCACACTGAAGGAATGGGGTTTCCTGTTTGTTGAACCTTGTATTGGAAAGGTAGACTACAATTTATTGGTTTTCAACCTTCGCCATATATTAGAATCACCTTGAGGATTTAAGGAGATATACTGATACACATGCCTTGATCAGGATGACAAATTAGATTCTGTGAGTAGGGCTCAGGTATTTTATATAAAACAAACAAACCAAACAGAAACAAAACAAAAAGCTTTGTTCAAATGGTTCTGATATGCAGCCAAAAAGTTACATTATATGCTCTTTCCCATATGCATATCTTACCATCTGATTTTTAATATGTGTGTGTTTTGTGAGAGTAAAGTGTATGTGCATGTCAGCAAACTAGAAAAGGGACCTAGAGAGGCAGTACAAAAAGTTTTAAGTTTAAGGTAGGGAGGTACAGAGGGTGATAGAACACATGTGATATGACAGGGAGTGGCAAAATACTTGAAGTGGAAGAGTTTAAGCAGGGCTTGGGGGAGGGTTGGGAAATACAGAGGCGCAACCCAAAGTAAGTAATCCAATTAAAAATAAAAATTTAAAGAAACAAATGGCCATCAAAATTTAACCACATGCTTTTCCCTCTAAAAGTGATAAAAATGAAAACAATGGAATAATAAAAGAAGGAAGGACTGGGACGGAAGTTTGTACTTATTTTCTTAAAACTAGGAAGAAAACCCTGTGCTACTAGAAGGAAAAAGAACCCCTCATCTAGATTTTGGTGGTGCGAGACAGACGATGCTAAATTTGAAAGGTCATAATAGCACCCACACTAGACACCTGTCAGTTTCTAAGTAACAGGGTAACTTCTGACCAAAACAGAGGAACATGTTGAAGCAAAATTAAGATGAGTCTTTCATTCTCTGTCTTCCTTACAGGCACACAAAAAATTGACGCTCACCCTTCCGAATGGTCCAAACATGCACCTCTACTTGAGGTGGTCTCTCAGTCTCCAGTGCTATTTTTCTGGTAGTCTCTCCATCCTCCATGAATACAGATTCATAAACAGGCATTGTTTCTTCCCCACAAAAGTAACCTTTGCTGTCAAAATGTTGGCTTGGAAGCTCTTCTGGAACCAGGAAGCAAGTAGAGTTTTGGCATGGTTTTCTAAAACTAGAAGTGAACTTCTGTATTTAGCCATCTCACTGCTCACGACCCTTGACATCAATCAGAAGTAGACGATCAACACAGGCATTCTTACAAAGACAGGGCTCCCAGCTTTACCTTATTATCTCAGCACAGGCTATCCCTTTAGCAGCCACCAAATCACCAACACATATGCAACCTCTCATTATGTCCATATGGTGACAGAATCCATAGTTGTGTAGGAAATGTCCACAAATTAAACTGGATCTTCCTACAACAATCACTGAGAGATGGACTTTGACAAGGAGAAAGAGTATAGCCAGGTAGAAATCTCTTAGGTATTTAACAGAACATTGAATTTTCCATACTATGTCAGAATCATGTTCTGTCCAGCCCAATGTTGCTGAGAAGCTCAGGAAACGGGCTGACACAGGGCCTTGTTTAACTTTCCTGACATCATTTTGGTATCATTAGAGAAAACATTTTTAACACTCATTTATGTGCATATACTTGCCCAATAGATCCATCCAAATTGGCTTGACATTTCTGAATGCTCTTTGATTTGTTTGTAAGGGGAATGATAATACCGGATCAGCACTAGTGCCAAAACCTAGAAGTCAGATTAGTCATGTGTATGCTATGCCAAATGAACAGTTGAGAGACACACACAAAATTGGTCAGATCCACCATATATGGATTCTTTAATGTATATGTCAAAATGTTGAATTTCAGCTCCTAGGAATAAAAGCAAAAGCCCCCTAATACATGTCATTTCACCCCCACCCTTTTTTTCCAGGTTCCTTCCAAAAAATAAATTCTCCTGGTTGATTATCAGTGAGTTGTTTCTTTGCTAGCTTCATAATCAACACCTTCTTGAGCTGTGTATTGAATGTGTACAACCCAAGTCAGGAGCAATGAAGAGAAGCCTTGGACACCCTGAAAACTTTGAGTATGGGCAGAAGCCATCTGTATGAATACTTGAACTGTCAAGGATGAAACAGCCGAGGGCTGAGTGTTTTGGGGGTCTGTGTTCAAACTGGGGAGACTCACTCTCAGTCAATCAGACACATTCGTCCAGATACTAATCAAATTGCTATTGTATGTCTGTTTCTTGCCAACCTAATTAGGTTTCCAAACCCCAACCCCAACCCCAACTCCAACCCCAACATTTGGCACTGTGAAGACAAAACCATCATCTTCTCTTGACAATTCCAAGTTGGATTACTCAATTTGTGGATTATCCTAGAATCAAACTTCCTTTCTCCCTTGTCTTTCTTTATAGCCATTTAATTACTTGGCAGGCCAGTCTTTTATGGCAATGTTAAACAATCAAGGGCTGTGTGCTAACACTTTTCAAATGGGAGGAAGGAGGTCACAGAGTGTGCAGGGAATTCTATATATTCAATTGTCATCTCTACATGGAGAGCTGAGATTATTTGTTAAACTTTGCTCACTAGCTTAAAGTTGGCTATGACTGTAGCTGACATACGAAATCCAACTCATGTTGGCACTAGAAGTACCTGACATATGCTCAAGGTTTGCCCAGTATCCTAAAGAGTCATCTGAAAGCACCACCCCCTCCTAAGACCTTGACTTACACGATTGAAGAAATCCACAAACAACAAAACCCCATTAGTGGCTCAGCCCTGGCTGGTACACGAAGATACTAGAAGAGGCAAAATTTGTTTTTAGAAGGAAGTATTCAGCAGTATAGTCCACTTTCTGTATTCTCTATCTTAGGGTGCTCCACAGCCTTGCTCACCTCCTCTCATTTCCTTCCAGGGAGCCCTGCTACATTGGAAAAGTCATTTCTAGCCATTCCTGTTTCCTATGAGAATGCTCTGCTAAGTTTTCTGAATCATAGAAACCATTACTATGGGAGGTGGTGATGACTGATAAAGACGTGTTATCTCAGGCCATGAAAACTTTTACATCATAACAAGGGCATTTTGTGACCAAATCCAAAAGAAGCGTGTAAAGAATTCCACGTACTAGGGTGGTACTGAGGACATGAGACGTGAGTTGGGAAAACCTCAGGCAGTGTAAGTTTTAGGCAGTGCATGCAATGGCCAACTTCTTTACAGCAAGGAGAAGACAGAAGTAAAATTTACATCCAGTGGTCCCTGTATGTTACAGAAGGGGCATGCTAACATTTCTTATGATGAGACTTTGGGCTTGACCATCATTGAATTTTGTCTTTTCCCTGTCAAGTCAATTGACATTACTGTTCTTTTTTCTATCAGCATCTTTCCTCACTCCCTTGCTCCTTTTCCTCTAGGTCATGCACCATTATTTTAAGAGGCCATTGATATTGTGATTTGCCCATTTGTCACGCCTACATGTCATTCAGAAATCTATGCAAATATCACCTTTTCAGAGAAGCTTTCCCTGACTACTCTTTTTATTTTTTTGAAAGTGTTTCCTGCACCATTCACTATCTCCTGTTTTTTTTTTTTTCACTATCCTCTCGACAGTCTAAAATTCTCCACTACAAAGTCAGCACCATGCCAGTAAGTAGCCTTTGCCTCTCTTGTTCATCCCACTTTCATCAGTATATGTGTTTGCATGCAGCAGGTACTTAATAGATATTTCTAAATTGAATGCAGGGCATACTCATTAATGTTCTGGAGTTGCTGGATACATGTAGCAGGTACCCAGAGCCATGTGGGCAGTGACATTTGGACAGTATGACCCAATGGGTGATTCAACCTGAAGATACTTAAGTCTGGATTAGAGAGAAAAGCACATAGAATGGGATTGAAACTCTCTCCTTCCGTGATGCCAATGAATCTGCTGCCTCTACACATTTGAGCAGAGTGGAAAATAGGAAAAACAGCTCATCTAGAGAAACTGGTTCAATCAATCAGATTCTTCAGTATATTGACAATTGGGATTCTGGAGGGCAGTTTTAAAAACAATACGTTTTATTTTTTTCAAACGATGGAAAGAATACACGTTTACTATTGAAAATTTAGAAAATACAAGAGAATAGGAATATTTGATAATTCAGTTACCAAAAAATCATGTCTGTAAACATTCTGACATATTCCCTTCCAGACCCTTTAAAAATCTAACCATACACAAACTCTTTCTTAACACAAAAGTAACTATAATGTTCATATTTTTGCGGTTTTCTTTTTTCACATCATACTTCCATGTCAGAAATCTTTGGCTACAATTTTAATGGCTGCAAAATATTTCACAATGCATTAATTCATTCCTTTATCAGTGGATTTTCTGATTGTTTTCAGTTTTTCACTATTATAAATCGTACTTAAAGAAAAATCTTTATATATCCTTATGTATCTCAATTTACTTTCTAAGGACACCCAGGGGTGGAATTGTTTATTCAGACATTTTACTAAACACTGGCAACCCAAGAGGGAAATTATTTTAAAAATATCTGTCCTATGTCCCTTATTTCCTTTTTACTGGAGTCACCTGTATGAATAAAACCCTAAGAAGGTAGAGAAATGAGATTTGGTTGAGAGTCAGAGAGTTAGATAGAAATGTATTATCTTGAGTATTTAGGCAACTATTAGTTTTGCCTGAAAATATTTTGTGTTACTTTTAAACCATAAATCTTATACCTTAGGCACAAACAAAAGCTGTATTGCCTGGGTTGCAACTGACACTAAGGAATCAAGTGAGAGCAGAGCCTTGGAAGTCACACAGCAGAGACTTGGAAGAGACTTGGAGGTCACCAGGCTTTGGTAGCCCTGATAACCATATCATTCTTATACTGTGCTTTCTCTCTCTACCCCTAAACAGTATATTTCTTTGTGAATTTTAATGTCTTGCTTTTCTACTTACTATCAGATAGCTTTTGTTTTTCCTATCACTTCTTGTCCCTTTCATTCTGGAAAATGGAGCTTATTATACTGAGGAAGATTTGGCCTTAAATTAGTTATCAAGCTTTACTATATTCTAACTAGCATCACCCTTTTCAATTGGGGATCTTCATGACACATCATGATGTGGTAAGTTGTGTGAAGGCCTGGGAGCTAGCATTTGAAATTAGCTCTCAGGTGCTGCTGATGTATGACCCTCATTTTGAATGACAGGATCCTAAACCACTGTGAGCATGCAGCAGAGGGTCCCAATTTGTTTTAGACATCAGTGCAGCCTGAGGATCTTTTAAAAATTGCCAAAGCCCAGGTCACAATTCAAATCAATTAAATCATAATCTCTAGAGAGCAGACAGAAGTACTTTTGGAAACTTCGTAGGGATTCAAAAGTGCAGAGAAGTACAGGAACCACTGGCTCACATACAAATGCTCAATGAACATACATAGACTAAGTGGACATTTGCCTGCTAGTCACAAGTGATTTTTTAATGGGAAGGAATAAATGATTGATCTGTCTGCATGTAAGTCTTTTGATCATTTGTATTTACATCAATACTTTGCAGAAGGCTAAGAAATGATGAATATATGTGCCCAAGAATGTCTAATACACTGATGGTAAAAACTAAGTACATTAATTCTTTGATCTTTCAGAAAAAGAAATTAAGACTCAGAGAAGGGAAAAGACTTGATCTAGATCACACAGGAAACCCACTGCACGCCAAAGTTAAAATGATTGAGTACAGCTCTCATACACTGCCATTATCAATATTACAGACTCTGTTGCTATTTAGCTCATGTCTTCAAACTTCCCTTTGAATAATTTGCCTTTCTAAAAAGATCAGTGAGACTTTTCTACTAGAAAAGACAATGTGCTAGAAGTGACCTGGGTTTGAGGACTTGATTTTTTTGACAATTAGTTTCATGACTCTGGACAAATAACTTTATACATCAAGTCTTCTTATCTTTAAAAGATAAATAATATTATAGGATTTTAGCACTGGAATGTGGGGAGAGGGAGCAAGAGAAGTTTTGGATAGTAGGGATGGCAACAGTATTAGAAGAAACTGTTTCTGATTTTCCATAGCACTCTAGGGTGAACATAGCAAAAAGTAATTTATGATAAATTTCAATATAGCTAGATGAGCCCAATGATAAATATGAGAGGAGATGGAATGATAATTACATTTACATGATAATTATACGCTATATACATGTTTGAATCATATTGTAACCCATAAAAATATACTAATATTATGCCTCATAAAGGTTAAAAAAACAAAATGCAATAAAGATACAAAAATTGAGAATAGAGATAAAGTATTCTAATTTTTTTGCATGGGGCTGATGCGTCCCAGGAAGGATATGGTGCTTTTTCTAAGTCATTCAATGATCTTGGATTTGGATCACATCCTTGTCTCCCTCCAATATAACTCACACATTTCTCCTCTGAAAAGGGTAATGGATTATGGCTTGAAGTGAGTTAGTCATTAAAAAAAAAAGAATGATGTGAGTGTGTGCCTAAAATTATGAGAATATAAACTCTGTAATTTAGAAAAGGAAGAATGAGCTCAGCAATTTTGAGCTCTGTGGGAGGTTATAGACCCCAGAAAATCTGCAGAATATTTTTGAGTAGCAAATTTCTTACAAGCAACCATCTTATTTGTCTCTGAAAAGATGAAAGAATGAAGTTCATTCTTGCTAGAACTAGTATCATTAGAATTATATGACAGGTTGATTATGTTTCTGATGGACAAAGAAAGCTTAATAAGACTGTTTGTGGATATTATTCAACCAAAGGCAGGGCCTCCAACCAACGCACCTTTTGTCTTTTTACCTGGACACACCTTGCAGCACTTTCCATCTATTTTTTGAGGATACTTGCAGGGGTACCGATTGGGGCAGTGGATTTTCTTACATTCTTGCTTGGTGACATTACAAGTGCATAGCACACATTCCACAATGCCAAATGCCCGGAGATTTGGGTGCCAGGACTCTCCATGGGAATAGGTCTTTCCATTGGAAACACATACTGAAAAGGAACACAAAAGTGGATATTGAAGGCAAGGGAACCAAGAGGGATCCCTATGCTTAGGATATATACGGAATTCTGTAACATATCAAGAATCCTTTGTTCTATCAGCAAGAAGATAGATTTACAGAGTGGTCTTTGTGACCATAGCACTGTCTGGACCAAAAACTACAATCAACAGGTAACTATGGGCAACTTCAGCAGCCTCTGGATGCTTATAAATAGCCTGACAAATCTGTGAATATTTTTTTAAATGGAGGAATAAATGAATATGTGAAATTAGAGTTCTTTCCAGAACATTTGGTAAAGAACCTCTAATAGAATGTAATATTTTGAATATCTTGGATGCCATAGATTTGTGTGGCCCAAGTTGCTATGCTTCTGGGTATGAACATTTTATAGAGAGATTTGCTATTTGGGAAGGCTAAATTTAAAAACTACCATTTTTCCCCCAAAGAGCCATTTTCATTCAGATCTTGAATCAAATCTAGTCAGAATGTCAAATGCTGAGAATCTAATCTATACACATAGATGAACATGGGATTTAATTCACCAGATTACTCCTTGGTGTAGGAAAGGAGGTGCTGAGACAAGAAGGAGAGGGAAAGATCCACATATCTCAGATAACTTGTGAAGCTTGTGAAGGGGTGAGCTTTTATGCCTCTCATCTTCAGACAGTTTTCTCAATCTCCCATGTGGTACAAACTTAACTATGGTAAATTATGGTCTGCTTTACAGATATTCTTTGACTTTTAGGCACTTGTTGAGAGGAACTATAGCCACTGATTCCATGTTTCCTGAGGTCTCTTGAAATTACAAGAGACCTATGCCCCACAGGTTGAGGGGCCTATCAAAGGGCAGAGCCACAGGAACATCCTTCCACGTGTATTCACCTTCAACTTCTTAGGGTACAACTATATATATAGTTACATATGTATATCTTAGGGTACAAATATATATATAAAACAAAGTTGGGTTCTGGGATAAGAACTGCACGGGCAATGCTGTGAATGGAGAGGACTGAGAATGAGTGTTCTCCCTTTCTAAAAGCCTGAGATTGTGGAGATTTCAAGCCTTAACTGGGTCTGGGTGTATCTTTCATCATTTCCATCATCTCATCACACCCAGGGAGACCTTCCGACATCCTAATCAACAGTATCTCTAGGGCGGGATGTATCACTTTGGGAAGGGCTGTGGGGAGACATAACCCCACTTGAGGCGTTTCTAGGAATTGACTGATTTGGCTGCAACACAGCCTCAGGATGAATCACTAGGCTATTTCTTTCTCATCAAGTCCACTGGGTAACATTAAAAAATTGAAAGATGTTTGCTGTCTTTCATTGTCCTTTGCAAGAGCTGCTTGAGCACTGGCCCTCTTAAGGGTCAGTCCATGTAAAGATTTCCAAGAGCCTAAACTGGAGAAGTTCCCAGTGCAAAGTGAGTCAGAACAGATACCTAAAGTCTGAGGTTCAGGGTTGTGGACAAGATCATACAAATCAGGCAGGATGTGCTAGTCTCTTGCCTATCCTTATCTCTCTACCTTCTAGACTATTGTGATCAAGTGGGTACAGAGTTGACTTCAAGAACATTTCAGTAGGATTGAAATTCAAAACGTTGGCCTCCTGCTCCTTTTACTTTGTGCTTTTAATACGTAACCAAGTATATATTCCATGGGAACCCCATCAATAGCAGGAGAGCTCAGGAAAAGGGTAAGCCATGCTGAGGAGGAGCAAGGCAGCTCCTTCACTATTACATAGCTAAGTTCTATCTTCCCTCTAAAGTTTTGGACTAAGGGAAGAGTCCAAACTGGGTGGGAGCCCACACTTTACAGTGGAATATGATGTAGGCAGTTCCTTAGTGGGAAAGACAGCATTATCCCCATATACAAACTCTCAAGATGATTTTGAGTCATCCAGCTGGGGAGTCGGGCATTAGGGTGAAGACACAGGACTCTTCAGTGAACTGTAACAGAAGAGAAGGTCTATATTCTGATAAATGGTGTAGATGAAGTAATCTAAACAGCTGGAGCTTTTAAAGAACACCAAGACAGGCAGGGGATGACCTCTACCCAGAAAATGAAGAGGTCTTAGGGAAACGATGGGATTTAGGGCATTCAAAGTCCATTTATATCCTCAATCTTTTCTTAAGGCTATGAAATATTTTCAGAGCAAATAAAATCTACTGGAGGTAATTTAAGATTGAAAAATCCAGCTGCATCTTTGCCTAACCCCTCTTCCTTTCACAAAACTGTATCAGAATGCCTTGGAATTTAAAAGCAATAAATTTCAAATTAAACACAGATCAATAACAAATATTTCTGACTATTTTAATAACCATTGCTTTATTAAATTGTATTTATAATTTTCTTTTAAGCCTGTATGTTTCAAAAGTGATTTTTAAAATCTATAATCTGAAATTTACATCTAACTAGTAACAGATGTGATCAACTAGCTTTGGCTTGATCAACAAGGTTGAAGTTTATACTAGGAGTTCTTTGTAATGGATTATTTTTCACCCATGTCATTCATTCACTTGGTTTAATAATTTACTCTTATCCTGTTCAGAAAGTTTCCTTTGCATTTACTTTTTCGCTAAAGGAAGTAAAACATATTTGTTGTTTCATAAAATGGAACCAGTTGAGCGTTTGCTCAAAAGAACTAATTGACGGATACCCAACAATGTAAGAACCAGTTAATAGTTTGCATTTCTCCTCTTCCCACTTTTACTACTGGAGTAGTAATGGGGCAATGGAGTGCAGAGAATTCAGTGGGGGAGAGAATAGGACCAGAGGACATGTGTGGATGCTTCTAAAGCTAGTCTGGTGGCTGAGTGGGCGACAGTGCTAACCTGATCAGTTGTTCTGGTGCTCAGTCAGGTATTTCTCACTGGCTCACTCATTTGTAAGGATGAACTCCTCATTTGCTAAACACTGAATCAAAATCTCTGAGATTGGGGCCAGGAATATTTAACAAATGTCCCAAGAGAAAGACTACTTAATATTTAAGTTTGTGGAGAAGAGCTTCAGAAGTGTTCAGCACTGAGTGCCCTTGAATTTCGGGTATCCTGCTAGTTAAAGATCCAGTGGATTTCTGAAATGTCTTCCAACTCCCAGAGGTAATGGAGAAAGTGCTAGGGGCTGCTTCAGAACACCAAACGGGGCTTGCCTATGCTATTTTGACTGCATTTTGGAGAAGTCCCAAGAGACCTCCAGAGTCACTTGTTCATATCCATTTTGCAGACCTCACACTGATCCACATGTGAATACGTGATATCCCCGGGGAAGAGGATCCCTTACCAGGTCTGGCTCTCTAAATATCAGAGATGATGAGGTCCTAGTATGGATGTAGCACAAAAAGAGGATGCCCCTTACCTTGTCCATGTTTGTGCTTATTATTGATGACAATCTGCACGATGGTCCCTGATGCTTGCTGGGAATCTATAAGAGCTCCCCGGTGACTTCTGCCCCCTGCAAAGCGGGGAAGACCTCCAGCTTGCCTGCTTGGTGGAGGATCATAGGGAGAACGGAGGTAAGAATGTCTCTATAAACAACAAAAAAAGAATCAGGCATTAAGTTGTTGGAAGCTATTCAATGACTTTAATTTTTAGTTATGAACTCTGATCTTAACTGCATGTCTTCCTATACCAACAGAGGTAAGGATATGATTGTAAGAAAGCAGCACTGGCAGTTTGCTGAGATTTTCCTCTTTCCTTGTAGAAGATTGGACTAGATTTATAGACAGATTCCTCAGGAAGAAAACAACCCAAATGACTAAAGTGCCTTTCTGCTCAAAGACTCGCAGTTTTAAAGTTAAGACTGTTTTCTGCACCACAAAGCAGAAGGTAACAGGTCACAAGAAAAGTCTAAAGCTGTGTGTAAATTATGAGAGAGCTTCTTGTTGGGGAGGGTTTGAGACCTGGGCCATGAACAGTGGGTAAAGTTTTTATAGGCAGTTTGTGGGGAATATTCCAAGCAGAAGTTTCCAAATTGAGAAGGTGTAGCAGAGAACATAGAGTCCTTAAAAGGGAACAGTTGAAGGATAACATTCCAAAAGGGGGTTGGGGCCAGATCATGGAGGACTTTAAATGACAAGCTAAGGGGTAAGCACTTTATTTGGTAAATGATAGAGGTGGGAGTGTGGAAGCTTTTGAGGGCTTTTTTTTTCAGCAGAGAAACTTAATCAGAACTTTGTTTCAAAGCAGCAAACCCTGATATGTGTATGTGAACTGGAGAAAAAGGAAAGACGGAGTCAAGTACAGTCTCAAGAACATGTACTGAGACTGTAAACACAAGCAATCTAGAGGATCATAAACCAGAGCATCTCACAGACACTGTACAGAGAGTACACAACAGTGGTAGAATGTAAAAAGTACAGACTGAAGGCCTTTGTTTTGTTCATTATTATATGTTCAGTATCTAGGACAGTGTGAAGCATTTAGACTGTACTCGTCCATACCTGTTAAGTGAATAAAAGAATGGAAAGCTGAGAGTCTTGTAGTAAAAATAAAACAATCATTATTCTTTCATCAAGGGTTCAAGGCTATGATGAGCTTGACTATCCTGTTCTTTCTCTGTTTTCCTGGAGCTGAGGTAGACCGTAGGCAGAGGGGTTTGGCTTGAATGAAGAATGGAACCTTAAGCCTTGGAGCCAAATAACGTTAACTGCATTTTAGGGGCAACTGTTAAGGGTAAAGAAGGGAAAGCCCATGAAAGAATTTTCAAAGGCATATTATAAGAAGATCTTTACATTCAGTGATGGAAATAACAGAAAACTTTGGAAAGACAATTACAAGATCCTCTTACCCCATCTTCCTGTAAGAAATTTATAAAAGTTATATGCCACAGAAACACATATTGAAAATTTAGATTTGGGAACTAACATTGCTCTCTTGGTATAAGGGAAGAATGAATAGAAGCTGGAATAAAAAAGACTTTTTTGTCCTCTGAAAGAAAATCTTATTTTCTCCATGTAAGAGCCCATGTTGGAGCATTGTCATGAAAACTCACACAAGTGAGAATTTGCATCAGTTTTGCCACCATGCACATGAATGAGGTTCTCGGGATTAATATTTCAAATTCCCACAAGTATTAGTATGTCCTTTTCTGCCATAATCACTTATAACCTGCAAAGACCATTGCAGGTTGTTCTTTCCTTTCTGGTGATTGGCAAAGTTTTGTCAAAGGAATACAGGGAGGAAAGTTTGCCTGGTAGGTGTCCCACTGATGCTGAAAGAAAGGTGCTGAACAGCGGTAGAATTAAAGAGGTTCACTGACCCAGGATAAGTGGCAAGTACAAGATGTTCTCTGATTCAGAAGAGTGAGCACAAAATGAAAAGCTGCTCTTTAGCACTGGGAAGTAGTATGGTAGGAGATGAGATCAAGACAAAGAACCAAAAAAAAAAAAGCCTCAGAGATTCTGAAAAAAAAGGTCCTATTGTATTCCACTTGCCGCCCCACAACTTCATCTTGTGTTGGAGTTTGAGTCTGAAATGTCCCTCAAAGTTTCACATTTTTAAACCTTGGCCATTAGTTGCTGATGTCGTTATGAGAGGTTGTGGAACCTTTTTGATGTGATGCCTATTTTGTCAGAGGTGGTTCATGGGACATGAGCCTTTGAAGGATAAACTTGCCTTCTATTCCAGTCTAGTCCTGTATATCCTGGTCCTGCCACCAAGTGAGGAGATCCATTGTTTTCTTCTGTTGCTACAAATTGATGCACCCCTGCCAGCATTCCTTTCTTGCCATGATGAACTGATATCTCCTGAAACTGTGTGCCCCAAATCTTTCCTCCTTAAGTTGCTTCTTTCAGGTATTTGTTACAGCATCAAGAGAAGTAACTCGTGCATCCTGTGTCTTTTGTCTTATAGACAGAGAAACTGAAGTCAGAGGCGAGAGGCAATACATTTAGTATGGTGAGGTTGAATTTTGAGGATGGAGAAAGAATGGGAGTCTGAGTGGAAAAGGGGAAAGGAACAGCAGTCAGAAAAGTAACAAAAGAAAGAGAGGCCTACAAATTTTTGGTTTAAAGCTATTCCAAGTAAAAGGTCTTTCAGCTATAGTGTTTACAAGTGCATACACCATAGCACTAGTTCTCCACCTTGGCTGTGTAGTAGGGTTGACCAAGATGCTGTTAAAAATGCCAGTACCTTGGTCTTACTCCAAGAGATTTTGATATAACTGTTCTGAGGTAGGGCTTGGCCATCAAGAATCTTTCATATCTAATTTGAAGACAAGGTAAAGAATAACAAACACAAAGTGTTTTATGTTTAGGACTAGATGTGGACGTGATGGTGTGTGCTTAAGTGCAATAGGTACTATGAGTCACTCCTGCAAGCAAACGAAAAAAGCTTATCAGGAGCCAGCCTGACCTTGTAATTTTGAGCAAAGAAGAAAAGGCATTACTACCTTGGAACTGTATGTAAAATTGAGTTTATCTTAAAAATGAGTTGTAAAATAATTGCTTTAGAGGAGAGGAATGGTCAAACCTCAGTTTGTTCAAAATGACCACAGAGTTATATTTTGTTTTATTTTGCTCAGTGTTGTGGTATTTCAAATTTGCTGACATGAAAGTCTGAGAAATATGTTGGCCTTTTGAGGCGAATCTAAAATAATTATTCTCCACTTGGGGAAAAGCCCCTCCTTTGCAGAGCGTCTCCAAAAATTCTTTCTTTCCTTGCTCTCGGGTTAAGATATGAGAGGTTTGCATGTTCTCACTCATTTAAGGAATCTAAATAAGATAATCAAATAGAATTTGAGAATAGAATGTGTTACCAGAGCAGAGTAGGGAGCAGGGAGGGATGGGAGAAAGATAAACATTAAGTCACTTAGATACTAGCTAGAAGATCTGGCATGCTACTACACAGAAGAGTAACTGTAGATAACAAAAATGAAACATCTATTGCATAAATCAAGAAGAAAGGATTTTGAAAGCTATCATCAGAAACAAATTAAAATGAGATACATATGTTTAAAAGAATTTAAACATTACAAAATGTATACATTATTAAAATTCTACATGGTACCCCACTGGCTGGTGTAATTTTATGTATTATCTAGTTTTTCTTATGAAAGGAAAATGGGAAGCTTGAGAGATGGATCAGCAGTTAAGAGTGTGTACTGCAGTTGCAGAGAACCGGCATTCAGTCCCCAGCACCTGTGTCAAGCAGTTATAACTACCTGTAACTCCAGCAACAGGGTATTCAATGACATTTCTGAGGCATGAGCACTGCACTTGTACACAAACGTGCACACACACACAATTTAAAATAAAATATTTTAAAAAGGATATTGGTTTTATTGGAAGAATTGGAAAATGTCAGCGTTTGGAAAGGATATTAAAAGGGCCTTTTTGGTTGTAATATTGTACAGTTGATTTGCAAGATGTGACATTAAGGCACACTGGGCAAAAACCACATAGGATCTCTCTGTATTATATCTTATAATTACACGTAAACCTATAGTTATCTTAAGCTTTAAAAAGGTTATTTGAAAAATATCTTCAGAATATATTATATTCCACACGTCATGAAAATATCCCGTAGTCACTACTAACTGCAATCCCAGCTCGAAGAACTTTTAAGTCAATGTCTTTCTCAAACTATTGTTCTGATGATGTGAACAGAAGGTAGATTTTTTTTATCTGTTTCATGTTATTTCACTCCCCAATCTCTTTCGCTTTCATAATGGTAAATTTAATAAAATTTATTGGGGGCAAAACTCAGAGTCCATTCTCAAGCATATTTCACCCTAACTTCCACATCCCTTTGTAGTCAAAAGGGATGACTTTTGGTGCCTACTATGTGCCAGGTATATACATTTCCATTAACGCAGATGCTATGTATTACTCAAGTCATAGTCCATAATATCAATCTAGTTTAGAACAAAGGAAAATACTGCAAGCAAACTTATTACAAAGTGGAACCATCTGACCAGTTTGGTCTATTAGTGCCAAATGCTTATTCCTAAAGACAAGTCTTGAACTCCACTGAAAACCAGTAACTTGTTTAAGATCCTGTATTCTGTACCTAATTTCTTGTTACAAGGAGTCTTAATTAAGTCATCCCTTATTGCTAGCCGTTTCTGAAGAATAATGACACTGAAAGAGAAGAGATGGGGCTTATGGGCAGCATAAAATGAAGAAAAGAATGACAGTAAAGTAATGACATTTACCAGCAAGACCATGGAAGTACCTCAGTGGTCACCATGGAAACCCAGTAAAGTGAATGGGACCTAAGTTTGGTTTAGAATGGCATCTAGTTGTTAGTCACTAATTTAGCTGCTCTCAACTTCTTATCACAACAAAAATAGTCTTCATAGGTTCGTATATGATCTTCCAGATCTTATTTATTTCTGCATTTATACATGTGCATAAGGAAATTTTGCACAAGGAAAGCGCCTGTCTTGCTATATAATGTGTCTGAGATGGTTTCTGTTTAGTTACATTTAGATATGTCGTACTCTTTAAAAACTTATTACAGCCGAGTGTCGTGGCACACACGTTTAGTCCCAGCACTTGGGAGGCAGAGGTAGGCGGATTTCTATAAGATCGAGGCAAGCCTGGTCTACACAGTGAGTGTCAGGAGAGCTGGGGCTACAGGGAGATCCTGGCTCAAAAAAGACCAAAAAATTATTAGATTTGTTTATTTACTTATTTAGTTATGTGTGTGTATTTGTATGCATGCATGCATGTTCACACGGTGCCACAGCACACATGTGGACATCAGAGGCTAACTTATCAGAGTTGATTCTTTCCTTTCTCCATGTAGATGAAGATCAGCAGACAATATTTGAAGATCAGTTGTCTCTTTCCACCAAATGCGTCCTAGCAATCAAACTCAGGTTATCAGGTTTGGCAGCAAGCTCTGGCTGACTCATCTTGTCAGCTCATATTGCATTCTTTTTGAACACCCAAAGACTGGGTACATTACAGTGAGCCTCTGCTCATAAATACATATGTCTGTTTGTTTTCCACTTACGCAAACAATGCTGCAATGACTGTCCCTTTACATTTTTTTCTACAAGGCTGCAATGAATACCTCTTTATGTCCAAACAGGAACACTTTTGCACATTATAAAAACTTTTATAAGTCCCTTAATGTGATTGATCTTTGAACATCATATTTTAAGATGTTTGAAGAATAGCATTTCTTAGACATCCATTTTTAGAGAGATGTTCTATTCTGCTAATTGCTTAAAAACATAAAGGCATAGATGACACTATTACTTTATATAGAGATTCCTATTTTTCAGGTTCATTCTGAGATTTTAAACAATAATAGAATTAGGATGTCACAGGGTAGATGAGAGGAGAACATAGCCTAATTTCTTTCAACTGCATGACCAAGAGCCATAAAGTTTCTAAGGAAGATGGCCAAAAGGATAAAGTGAACTATGATAAAACCCCACAGAAAGTTTTCACTATTGAGAACGGGGTGATCCACATTCCTTAGAGAGGACATACAGATTTGACAGGTCATCCTGAAAGAATACCAACTACTGTCCTACATGAAGGAATAGTTTCTTTGTGTTTATATTCTGGCCCTAATTACGATTGATATGCTACATATAAATGGTTAGAGGTTGATGATGATGTTATTTGAATTTCTGAGGAAGGGGAAGAAAATAACATTAGAAATAGGCCTGTTTAGGATTTGCCGAAGTAGTAGTCACGGTGAGAGAAAAGCTTGGCCTGATGCGGTGGAGTGTAGAATTATTTGAGCTATTCACACTTACAGCTTCTCTGTTGGCAGGTTGCCGGAAGATATCACCATCAGAATGTTCCCACGACAGTTCTCCATCCCCTGTTTATTAAAAAGGAATAAAGAAAGAATCATACATACATAGAAGGGAAAATTATCACCCTTGTGACCCGGCCACATATTTGGAACTATGATTGCAAAGTTCTCAAGGCATTTTTTGCTTTTGTGGCTACCCTTCAAGAAACAGCACTGAACGATTTCTCTGGGTGGGCCTCATGATTCAAACAACTCAGAAGAAAGTTGTCATTTTCTAAATAGATCATCTGGTAACATTATCCAGAATTTGGAATATAAAAGGGAAAATAATCACTTTTCACCTTAATATAGCCATCATCATTCCTTTTGCTTATTTTATTCTAGTGACAGTTAAGTATTTTGCAGATCATATTTAACTTGTGTTTATACTACCCTTAAACAATGAGTTTTGAAGTTTTGATTAGTCACGACTTAAGTTCACCATTTTGTCTCTGAGAAGTTATGAATTGATCTGAAAATAAAAGTAGAACTTGCTATGATTAGGGTATTTCCATAACAAATGTACAAGATGCCATCTTTTATTTTTATCTGACACACATTTTTCTATATCTATATGACCCACTCTTTGCACAGCAAACCTACGTCACTATTTTCATCTAGAATAATTGTTTTCCTTCATTTTGAGACAGGGACTAGCTACATAGTTGGGGCTGAACTGTAACTCACTATATAGCTCAGGCTAGCCTGGAACTCATGATTCTCTCATCTCTGCCTCTTAAGTCCTGGGATTACAGATCTGCACCATAACAGCCACCTCAGAGTAATCACTTCCAAGATAAAGATCATACAAACATTGACATTTATTAGCTGATTAAAAATAAAATAAATTGGATAATTATCAAGATTTTGTTATCTATGACAATACAACATACACACATATACACAGAGAGAGAGAGAGAGAGACAGAGAGACAGAGATACAGAGAGACAGAGAGAGATTTGACTTAAGCACCATATTCAAAAAGATATTCAATAGGATAACAAGGGATATGGAAAATACCAAGGATTTTCTGTTATAATTCATCTCTTAAGCTTTAAAAATATTAGAATTAAACAAAGTAGGAACGTGTTACTGGTTCATATATGTGATAGTACTATGGGCGGAAATTATGTAATATCATTGGCTTTTAGGGCTTGAAAAATCTTTGAAAATTAATTGGATAGCCTCCTGCCTCCACTTCCACATGCTAGAATTATAGTCTTGTGCTACAAAGCCCAGTTCATCAATGCATTTCTAATTTCCTTAAGGTCTTAGCATCCCACACTTTTAGAAATGTGGAGAACTTCAGACAACTTTTATCCAGGTGTTATACTGAACAGCTAGGAAAACCAAAGCTCAGAGAATAGAAGTAGCTATTCACTGTCAAACAATGTTTGTGGGAATTACTAACAAAACTCCAGGCCCATTGACTCTGAATAAATCTGTCCATCCTGTAGGACAATGGTTTATTCTTTGTGTTATTTTTAACTGTATCACCATCAGATGACAGAATTGGGGAGACTCTATCCACTTTAATATTTCTTTTACCCTCTTTTTCTACTTAGCACTTGTGTCTTACATTTTATATATTTTGTATATTTTCTGGTTTCCCCATGAAAATAAGAAGTCTTGTCTATCTTGTTCATTGACACAATCCCAACACTGACAACAGCAATTGGCATGTAGTATTCGCCAGTGTTTGCTGCATGAGTGAATAATAAAACATCTCTACATTTTCTACTGCTAAATGTTTCCTGGTCCTGCCTTATCTTTCCAGACAAACTGTAAATTTCTTAAAATGAAAGGCTGTGTCTTAGACTATCTTCTCATTTTCCTGGTGACCACTTCTCAAAGTGTGGTCCTTGCACTTATAACACTGGCATCATCTGGGAATTTGTTAGATTTACAAAAGTTTCAATCCTGCTCCTGAATGACTAAGTCAGAAACTATGGGGAGAGGCCAGTGGTTTAGGTTTTGATGATCCCTCCAGTGGATTTGAATGCACTCAGGAGTTTGAAAATAATTGGGCTGGAGGAGTTAGTATATTGCTGGGTTCCTATCATTGGCTTAATATGTAACTGAATTAGACTTCAGTAAAAATACAGAATTAAGTGTCTTGCCAGAAGAATACTCTTCTTCCTGGATAGTCTACATATAGATGAAGATGGTAGACAACAACCACATGAATGCTGGTGTGGAAATTGACTAGCCACTCTGAGAAGTATAATAAATTTTCCCACTGGTTATGATTTCCCCTTTGGTAATGAATGGAAATAATGTCAAAGGGTCAGTTAACAAGTCCTGAATGCCATTTATGTGGAGAGCCTCACACTACGGCAAAAGAGATAAATCAGCCTGTGGCCTTGCCCTTAGAATATTTACAAAATGGTTGGACGTAACAGAAAATCAACATAGAACACACACAGTCTAACAACACGTAAAGGTCAGCAAATGGAACTAAAAATGGAATATACCTGCTTATGATATACTGAGTGGGGCGATGAACCAGTCAGATGGAATCATAGAAAGCATCCTAAAAGAACAATGTCTCATTTTTGAGGTAGATATTGAAGAATATATAGGGACATTGCTGTGAGTACACAGTGTCTCCCCTGAAAGGAATGGCATTTTACAAGAACCAGGATTTTGGAAATATAAAGCCACACCCTGGAGGAAGAAAAGAGGAATGGTTTAAGTAGCAAATTTAGATTGGGAAAAAAAGAGAAATGGGGCTTGCAATTTATTGGGGAGAGAGAAAAGAAGGAGATTAGAGTGCTGTTGAAGTTAAATAGGGATAGTAAATAATTTCAGGATATCAAACACAGGCTATGGAATGAATTCACATTTCATCCTGTTATTAATTTTAAAGTAAGGGGTTTATAGTATAAATTATGTTTGTGGGTGCTTCTTCTGGAAGCAGAGTGTAGACTATCTGTGGAACGACAAGAAGTTGATAGGCTGAAAAGGAGGCAGCTGTGCCAATAGGTTGTAGACCATGAGTCTCTGCATAATAAATAGTAGGGGAGAAAAGCTGAATTGCATTGCTGAAGACAAAACAATCATGGTAAGGCTATGATGGAAGTTGTGTTCATGGAGGAAGGAGGCAGAGAAGAACACAGCATAGAATGGCTGTCAGGCTGAAAATCTGGAGTTAGATCATGCCACTGACAGTGATGACTAGGGATAAACTTAGATTTATGTGCCCTATTTTAGGTAACAATGATGGCTCTAAGCAAAATGAAAATAGACCAGAAAGAAGATTAGAAGCAAGAAAGAATTCACCAGCAAATGGCAAAATGACATGTAGTAAAGCTACAGTATGTGTCTTGAGGCCAAATCTGTGTAGCTAAAAGAGAGAAAACAAACTATCAAAGAAAAATCTTATAATAGTACTCTTCACCAAATGTGTTTTTAAGGATTTCATGATTGATATCAACAGAAATTGGTTGCTTAGCTTGCCCATCTCAGAAGTTCAATTTATTGCATTTAGACACTGAAGTTTTGGAAAGGCTTCTCATTAAGGAGTCTTTAAGTACTTCTAGTTTAGTCAAAATGCAAAAGCATTACAGAAGCATATAATCCCTTTTACAAATGGGTAAAAAGTTCCGATAGCAAAGCAAATGGGGCAAGACTGTCAAGCATGGCAGTCAAACTTTTATACCCTGTAACACAAGCTCAAATGAATGTGTCACAACATGTATGAAGTGTGAAATTTGAAAATGTGAGCACTGGCAGAAAGATATGTGTACCTAAAATGAAGTTGATTACTTCATTCATAACTACTAGAGCTATTACTTCTGAGTACACACACACACACACACACACACACAGATTATATTTATATATACTATGCATTGCACATATATAATGCATATATTAGAAGCTATTAGTATTTCTGTTGCCCTTGAACTTTCGAAGTCATCACAATGATGTTATCTAAATTTGAATGTTCTGTTAAATAACTGTTAGAGATTTTAGCCATCCTATTTCATTTAAATAATAGATGAATAGAAACGATCATTTTAGATGTTCATACTTGGTATGTTGAGAGCAGCCCTCTAGAACTGGGTAGTGTCTATCTGGACAGCTAAAAATAGATACCATATATCCATTTATAATCTTAGATATTATGTCCTGGAGAAAATAAGCATCAATACCCTAAAACCTGTTTCTTTTTCCTGACTCACTGGCAGTTTATCTTGAGTGATGTGGAACCTTTTTCTTTCAACCAAGGCTTAAAAAAACCAAAAAGAACAGTGATTCTAATGGAGACAGATGGATTCTAGTTAATTCTGAGAAGCAACAAGATGTAATTTTAACCAATTTTTAAAACCAAAATGAAAAGCAACTCTAGTGTACTGTATGTCAAACAATATTCATTTAACCTTAAAAGCCACATGTGTTGTTCATTCAAACCTCAATTACACTCTGAGTGGTACCCTATGGGGCTGGAATTGCTTGGCTTTCTGGTAATGGGAGAAATGGAGAGCAAGTATTTGAAAAATGGTCAAAAGCTAGGCTGAAATTCAGACCGTTTATAACTTCCATGGCTTCCATTAATCTCTGGTTTCTTTGAGTAGCTCAGAGGAGCAAATCTTGTTCTCTCAGAAAGACTACATGTACAATGAAGACTCTAAGATACCCAACAAAGATAAGCCCCTACAACAAAAACATGCCAGTGTGTGGCCACTTTTGAACTGCACAAGATATCATAAATAGGGTGGCCATATGGCCCAATTTATCAGGGACAACCTAGTTTTATTGCCTCCTTTTATCTGTCAGGCATAATTAATAAGACTTTCTCTTGATTTCAAAAGTGTCTCATTCAGATGGCAAATTATATAGTCACTCAAATCATTGTGAATAAAAGTGAAATGAATCACCAAGACAGAAAAGCAGGACAATGATCTCAGTATTTTAGGAGCAGTAAGTTAAAACCAGAGGAATCACGACAAATAATGAGTTTTTGAAGGAAAATGCAACAGCAAGCACAGTGAAACCCACCATGAAATCTCCAACTACCATGC